TAATAATAATAATTTTCTCAGGGTGACCCCGGACCGCAAGGTTTAAACGGTCCTCCGGGACAACCTGGAGTGCCTGGAATGGCAGGGTCAAAAGGTGAGAAAGGCGATAGGGCCGACTTAGCTGCCGGAAATAAAGGAGTGAAAGTTAGAAAGTTCTATGATATGATATGATATAAGATATGATATGAGATATGATATAAGATATATGATATGAGATAGAATGTCGTAATCCAATTCCAAAACCTAAAATAACAAATTTTGTTAATTAAACCAGGGAACTGAAGGGCCTTATGGAAATAAAGGAACAATGGTGAGATTAGGCTATATATGATTATAACGTTTAATTTTATTATTAATATAATAATAATAATAATAATTATTATTATAATTATTGTTATTATTATTATAAATTATAATTAATTGTAGGGTCCTGATGGAGATCCCGGAGACAAAGGAAGGAAAGGTGTCCGAGGTAGAGAAGGTGATCCGGTACGTTGATAATTTGATTTCATGCCCGATAGCGTAGTGGTTATAGGCGTCCATTTTGAAGTATCAGCGACTGAGTTTGAAGGCAAAAAGATCCAATGTGAAAATCATACTCAATAATAGTGTATGATACATCATGGTTTCGCATCACACACACACACACACACTCACACACCACACACACACATAGATATATATATATATATAATTAATATAAATGAAATTATTATAATTAATATGATTAATAATAATTATTACAGCATAATATATTTTGATAATTTTAATCGTATATTACGCAGTGTGGTAGCTTACTATTGTCACTTTGATAGGTATAACATATAAACGTTAATAAATGCCAAGAATCATCGAAATCTCGGTAAATTTTACTGTATGTGTGTATGCGTGTGTGTGTGAACATGTGTGTGTGTACGTGTGTGAGTGTGTGTGTCGTGTGCAGTGAAAAGGAGTGCCTGCCACTTTGCATATGTGTTGGCACGGGAAAAATAACTCGACTAAACTCATTTGATTAATAAGTTAATAAGAACACTTGAACGTGTGTATTCTGCAATAGATGCTTTCACCCACACACACATATATATAATTAGTGATATATCTTTATTAAATTATTTTTAAATTAAATTAAGTTTATCTGTCTGTTAAAATTATTTGCAGTTAAATTAGTCTAGAAAGATTTCATTTTAAGATCACTTCATGGAAAAAGTTAGATTAATATGAATGGCTGATAATACTATGTCCAGATATATGTTCTGAATAAAAGTATTTCATCTTGATAAAATTTACTAAGACTTTTTTATAAATCTTATTCCCTATTGGCTGCTTCTTAGTGGGGTTATAGGTCATTGCCCTCTCCTTTTTTACAATTTATTTTTATGTCAAGGGCGAAGGAGCGTAGTAATAAAAAAATGTCTCACATACATCTGAACCATTTACAATCAACATTAATTGTAGCTAATATCAGTAGCTGCGAAATTAACATATATGATTGGTTAATTACAAAAGTATAAATCTAGACATCCAAATTCATCCACAATTGCACGATTTGGCCAGGGTTATGCTGGAATACCCGGCAGAGAGGGACAAAAAGGGTACGATAGTCCGGTTTATAAAGGCCAAAAGGGTGATAAGGGTGATAGGGGTCGAGCTGGTATCCTTAATTGTCCCACGACACCAACTGGGCCGAAAGGTGATCAGGTTGGTTTAACCCCAGTACAGAATTTTCCCGATCAGTGCATCTTGGAGAATTTTTCGTTCGTTAATTTCTCGACCTTGTTTTAGTTTTTTTTTCAAATTTTCTTGGTTGTTGTTATTTGTTGCTGTTTCATGTTGCCCCTTACTAATATGTACAGAGGAACGCACATGCATGAATGAACATACGTAGTAGTGGTTGGTTATGCAACTTAACACGCAACACAACTTACCATCCACACTGTAACAACACACCGAAACAAAACATTAAAAAATAGCTAAACTTTTGAAGTTTTTTTTAGATTAATTTGTTTTTTCAAAGCTAAAACAATCAAATCATAAAAGTAAAAATATCGGCCTTCAATTTTTAAGTATTTCCAAGATTTTTGACAAATAAATTCGATTAATCTATCTTGACGATCGGGTTTAGAACCAGGTTAGCCACGATTTTGCTTGCAAACATTTCCAAATAGCAGTAAGCAAGCGATGCTATCAATATCATCTGTGATAAATTTTCTTACAAAAGGGTATTCCAGGCTTAAATGGAAGACCAGGTAATCCAGGTTACTACGAAGTTCATCTTGAAGGTGTCAAAGGTGAAAAGGGTAATAAGGGCTTGCCCGCGGCTAGCCACTGTATGGGGCCACCTGGGCATAAGGTTTGTTGTCTTGGGTCTAAAAACAAGAGTATGTTCTACTCGGCTCGCTTTGAAACCAAATTTCACAGCTTTTCAAAACACTCAGGTGCATGTCAAGTCGAATATCTTTTTATAACATATAATGATTTGAAATAATATATGCGTATGTCTATCTCTATGCACAATCATTATGTAATAGTTTTCTAATTTAAAATTAACAATTTTTACAATTTTAAAACAGAATTGAGCGTTTGATCGTAAGCAACAGGGCTAGACGCAAAAATTTAGTAGTGAGTCGACGTCAGTCATCGAATTTCTTTTCATTTTTATCCTTTCTTGAAATCTTTCAATCCTTTATTTCTATTTTCCGTTCCTCAAAACATCGAAGAGGGTAAACAAAATAAATAATTCAGTTGTTTCCAACTTGGTATGTTATCCACGACAACGTAATGTATGCATCTTAGACAATAAAAATAAAAGTCCAAAGTGAAAAAAGGTTCTTGTGAATTCAATCTTTGATGTACTTCAACTCTACTCAATTAAGGGCAGAAAGGGCTTACCGGGTAGGACGGGACCACCCGGTCCAAACAACAACAATATTACTCTAGGAGAGAAAGGAGATAAAGGTGATAAAGGTTTGCCGGGATTGACGAACTTGAATTCATTTTCCGGTGAGAACGGATGCGTAAAAGGTATCGAAGGCCTGAAGGTGAGAATTATTTCCATATTTTTCATTTTTACTTCGCTTTGTTTTTATACTCTACTTTATTCAATTCAAAAAAATTTTACTCCTTTTTTTTATTCGCAGAAAATTAATTTTTTAGCTATCTGGTGGCTCGGTTTATTACAAATTTGTTTTTGTCAATTTTCCAAAAAAAAAAATTAAATTTTGTTTAGTTAAACAATTTTTCAATTTTGTAATTATTCATTACCCTGGTAATATGCAAATTTATGTAACTTTTCTTCCAATTTTTATACAACATCCAGGTCCGAACTATCAAAAAACATTTCCATTAATCATTTTTTCGCCGTTTTCCAACGTACTCTACTGATTTTTGAGTCATCTTTTCTTTTCCTAAAAAAAACCAAAACAAACAGAAAATAAAATTTAGGCGATTTGGGCAGAAGAGATAGACTAAAAAATTAGGAAGAGAAGCTAAAAATCGGCTCACGGATCACGAAAAAAAAATTAAAAAAGCTAAAGCAGAAAATTTTAACAAAGCTTCAATTCTAATACAGAAATCGTCACACAAACATGTTTTTGTTCATTTTCTATTTATTTTTTGGCTTTTTAACATCATGGTTTTGTGAAATGGACAGGCTAAGCTGTATATACTTGCTGTTTTTGTTTTAATTTTTTTTTTCAATTTATGTTAAAGTACACGTTTGAGTTCCGTTTAGTTAACAAAAGTCTCTAAAAATTCTTATATAAATCATCATGTATGGCGACGTTTCTATCAGTTTAACACTTCTACTAGTTCAATCGCCACTGTTTTATTTTATTGTAGCAATTTATTAACTGATTAGATTATCGTTGATTTAAAGTACAACTTTTTTTCCATTAAATAACTTAATTGCATGAAAAATTGATTGTATTTAATGTTCTAATTTTGTCTTGTAATGCAGTAACGCTGTTTGAAATGTTAGTAAAAATACTTAATAATAATATTAGTAGTAATTTTAGCAATATTATCAATATTAAAAAAACTATTCAAAGTATTTTTGTTAGTTTTAATTTTAAAAAATGTGATTTCAGTGTGATAATGATTTAATGTATTAATTTAATGACAAACATCAAGTGATACCAGCTTAGCTTGTTCACAAAAAATTATTTTTTGTCACTTTGAAACCATTTTGTTAATGTTTTTTTCGTTTAAACCGTTTCCAAATTTTATAAAAAAAATTGTTTTCAGTAATAGATTTTAATATTTTTTAATGTTTCACAAACTTTTTTCACATAAGTTCTTCAGCAATTTTTAGCAATTGTATAATTTTTAAATTTTCAAGAATTTTGATGTTTCTTGCATTTTTTGAGCCTAAGCCGCTAATTTTCTGTAATGCCCTTTTAAGATCTTCGAGCTGAAATCACATTTTTTTGATATAACCTGCTGAAAATATGTATAAAAACGCTAGCGTTAACATTATCCATTTCATCCTAACACCAGATAATAATTTATTTTTACCATTATTTGCAAGTTTCTATTAATTTTGTATTCAATTTTTAAAGAATCTTTAAATATTTTTTAGGTTGTAGTTAGTGAAGAATTATTTATTTAAATGTACTAGATGTTATGTATTGAAACTAAGGTTAGAAATTTTCGTTAGTTGTTCATTGCAACTGAATAGGGTAAAATTACTATACCATATTCTACTATGTAGTATAACTAGAGATAGTACATAAATAGTAACAAGTGTGGGCACTTAATTTTGAAAAATATCAATATAAGACCGTTTATAATTATATATATATATATACGTTAAACCGATACTATTCATAAAAATGTTATTATTAGTAGAATAAATAATATTATTATAAATAATATTAATAATTATAGAAAAGTATTGCTATAAAACCCGTAGTTGTAACAGTAGTTTTGGCAGCAGTAGTAGAAGTAGTAAAAGTAATAATGATTGTTAGATTTTGCTTAAATAACGGAACTGATATGGGGTGATGAATTCTCATAGGGTGATCCTGGAGAGAAAGGAGAACCTGGCTATATGGGCGCTAAGGGTCAGCCGGTTAGAAAAAACTTTTTAAAATTTCAATCTCATACATTTCCTCATTAATAATTTTGTTTTGTTTAAATGTTTTTTTTATTTATTATATAGTAAATAGCTGAATAAATTGTTTCCATAATATTATTAATAAAAAATAATTTAATTAAATGGTGGAATAACTATGGTGATCCTGTAGAAAAAGGAGAACCTGAATAAGAATAGGACGGATTTCTTTATTTAAATCACGCTCATACATTAATTGTAACATTTAGTAATCTTTGTACCTGCTTATGATCTTTAAAAACTTTCAGACGAAATAAATTGTAAAAAATAATAATATTTTAAAATTGTAGGGTGACAAGGGCGATACAGGTCCGAGGGGTGCCAAAGGCTACGTTGGGCCTGACGGAGGACCGGTGAAATTTAAATTTATTTCCAGTTTTTTTTGTCATTTTATTGTTAATTTGGAATTTAAAAAAATGATTTTTTCAGAAATTTAAAATTTTTCCATTTTTTTTCATAATTTTTAATGTCATTTTATTGTTAATAAATTGGAATTTAAAAAAAAAATATGATTTTTTTTAGTTGTTTAAAATATTCCAAAACTTTTTTACATATGTATGAATTAAATTATTACCAAATATAAATATCTCAGGGTAAAAACGGATACGACGGCTTACCAGGAGCAGCTGGACCTAAAGTGAATATTTCGATACATTTTTTCTGTCTCGTTTTTATAAGCATTGTATGGAGACATCCGCCGAACTTTAAAGATTGTTTGCATTTCACTAACAATCATTCCCTCATAAATAAGCACTTTTTGCATTTAAAATTTTAAAAAATCAAATAAAAATTATGACAATGAAAAATGTTTCTTAAACTAGGGTAACCAAGGGCCGAAAGGAATGATGGGTGATACTGGACCAAGAGGTATGAAAGGACCCAAAGGTAGAATTGGTCCTGACGGTTTCATTGGCAGACCGGGAGGCGTGAGTTTTCATTTTATTTCATTAAATGACTTTAAAAGTTATTCCCTAATCAACGCGCTGGCATTGTACTAATGAAGATTATAGCAAATATCGACTAACTGTACGTGTAGTTCTACACGTGTAGTTTAATTCATAATTTAATTATTTCTAATTCATGATTTAATTGTTTTTTTATTCATAATTCATTTATTTTTAAATCATAATTTATTTATTTTTATTTCATAATTTAGTTATTTATATTGCACAATTTATTTTTAGCTGTATAATTGTTTTAAACTTTCAGAGTGGTGTAGGCAGGTGTATAGATGGCAAACAAGGTGAAAAAGGAGACAACGGATTTTCTGGTCTCACTGGCGATACAGGTTTTGAGGGATTTCCTGGTAGTCCAGGTTTTAACGGAAGGCCTGGAAATCAAGGACCACCAGGCCTGCCGGGTGATTCCAGTGGGCCGGGTTCCAAAGGAGATATAGGAAATCCAGGTTTCTAGTTTAAGTTACTAATGTTTGTTTGACGATAATTGTTCATTTTTTTGAATTGTGTAAATATTAACAACGTCTATAATATCTTTATGTTATTCCATTTTTTATATTGATTTGATTTGTCTATTCTATGTAATATGTATAAACAAAAATTTTGAGGTCTTTAACAACATCAACACAAAAAATATAGGTCGCTCCGGCTCACCTGGTAGGTCGGGTCTAATAGGCTATCCTGGTCCTAAAGGTCAACCGGGTGAAAAAGGAAATCCAGGGTTATCTGTTCCAGGGCAGCCAGGTGCTGATGGACTGCCAGGGAGACCTGGACAATATGGACCAAAAGGTAGAATAGGTGTTCAGGGCATTCGAGGACAACCAGGAGAAACAGCCGACGGCTGGATAGGTCCACGCGGGCTGAAAGGTCCAAAAGGATTAAGGGGTCCAAAAGGTTATTCCGGTGACGTTGGAGTTCCCGGATTAAATGGACAAAAAGGTAGGTTTACAATTATGATATTTTGAGTTTTTAAAATGTGATTTATTTTTTGAATGATGATATTAAATTAATAGATTATTTAATTATCAGGTGAGCACGGACGTCCCTGTGCAACGTGCATTCCAGGACTACCCGGAAAAAAAGGTGAGCTCGGTCTAGAAGGTCCCCCAGGAGCAGCGGGACCCAGAGGTAAAATTGGAATAGTAGGAGATCCAGGATTGCCGGGAGAGTCAGGAAGGAATGGTGCAAAAGGTCCTGATGGTATTCAGGTATATATTCAAGTTATGAAATATTTTTTTCAATTATACGTATAAACAGCTGCTAATAACATTCTGCATTTAAATTGTTTTAAGTTAAACAAACATTAAAAAGGGTATTATGTTTTTTTCAAAATTTAAGAAAAAAATTAATTAAATTAACGATTTTGCTTTAAGATACACAATTGCAGAAATCACCTACGCATTTGATAAGTTGATTAAATGTGTTTTGTCTTATAATATCAATGAAAAAATTATTTTGCAGGGTAAACCTGGAATAGATGGAGAGCCTGGATTGAAGGGCGAACATGGAGATGATGCCGATCAGATCGCAGTGAAAGGAGAGCCAGGTAAATATTAATATTTAAAATATTTTCAAAATAAATCTATTTTATTTAATTGCAACAAAACATGAAACCAGAGTCTCATAATCAAATAAGTAATTCATTATAGTAAAATATATTTAAGCAGTAATCAAATCACTAATCGTCAAATATATATTTGAGTTAAATAATAGGCGTAACTTTAAGACCGATACAACCGAATTAATATCGGTCCGACCTAAATTAATCAACCTTAATTAAACAATTCAGTTGTACGTAATAGTGAATTGTTTAATAATAACAGTTAACGTTTCGCAAAGATCTTATTTACAATTCATTTATTGAAATATGCATCAACAAATCATTTGCTTCAAGTTTTTTCGCATTTATTTAAATACATACATTCTCAAGAATACGTAACAGAAAAATACTTGAATACAAAAATTAATGTCTTATATAAAGGTGCTAAAGGTTTTAAGGGACGCGTAGGCTTTCCTGGCAAAGACGGGGCTCCAGGTAAACTTGGTCTAATGGGAATACCCGGAAATCCTGGAGTTCCTGGTCCGCCGGGACAAAAAGTGTGTTTAATTTTTTTTCTTTCATCATCTATAGCCTATTTATTTTTCTTCATTATCAAAAAGATTATTTTCATTTTGATTTTTTCAAGTGCGTTCATTGTGTTAATATTAATTTGGCGGCCTGATAAGTGATGGTTAGATGTCAGGTATTGCTCGTTCAGTGAAGGATTTTCGCCTATCGCATGCAATGTGTGTGATGCGTTGGCACACTTGTGCCGCGTGTTTGTTCTTGATACACCTAAATATTTTAAAGAGAGAATTGCAAAAATTTAAAATGAAATAAATGGAACAGGGAGATATTGGGATGAAAGGCAATCCCGGAAGGCCAGGAAACGACGGACTGCCCGGTTCGCCGGGACAACAGGGCGACAAAGGGATGGGTTTGTAGTTTGTTTGTGACAAACTTTTATTTCCTGATGAATTGTTCCATACTTCTAAATTCGTTTGATAATTGTTAACGGCTAAGATTACGACAAAATTTGCGATTACGCATTATTTTCTACTACTATAATATTGAGAACTAAAATTACAAAAAAATATTAATTTAACACAGGTCAAGTCGGTAGGAAAGGTGAGAAAGGGGCACCTGGATACCCCGGAAGAAAGGGAAATATAGGAGACCGAGGCTCAGTGGGAGAACCAGGTCTGTTCATTAATTCATTTATTCGTTCATTCGTTCGTTCGTTCGTTCGTTTGTTCGTTCGTTCATTCGTTCGTTTGTTCGTTCGTTCATTCGTTCGTTCATATATATATATATATATATATATATATATATATATATATATATATATATATATATATATATATATAATACATCTATTCATTCGCCCTGCTCAATCGTTTAGTCATGTATTATTTTCTTGAAGCATTTTTTGCAATTGTATATACTAAAGTTATTTCTATTTCGCGACTGAGTGCAACTGATACAACGATTGCAAAATGGTTACGATAATTTCCATTCAACAGGACAGGTCGCCTTGATAGAACCAAGAGGATTGCCTGGCGACCCCGGAGATTACGGTTACATTGGAGGACCTGGAATGCCCGGTGTCACTGGAGATAAAGGAGACCGAGGTTCATTTGGGATTTTATGTCGGCGTATAAAAATCTATCGGAGTCAATATTGTTTTTGTGTAAATTCTGCTTGGAATTTTGTTCCATTCAAATTATATTAGCGCCACAGAAAAATTATACTCGCAAGTAAAGAAAACTTTTAAAGTAAACCTACACATACAGATTTTTAGAACTAATATATCTACAGACTGCAGCTATCACAAAAAATTTTAAAAAATCTAAGCGAATGAGTAAAAATAATAACAAAAAATATACTTAAATGAAAAAATATACAAGCAATTTGTATCCCAACTTATAAGGAGTAAACGGAATGCCCGGTCCAACTGGCCCTGCTGGTTTTCCAGGTCTTCCTGGAAGAAAGGGTGAGATAGGGCTTCCTGGAGCTAGAGGCGATTATGGAGTGCGAGGTTCGCCAGGACCCGTGGGTGATCCAGGTTTTCAGGGAGAGAAAGGAGGTAAGGGTGTACCTGGCGACAAAGGAGAAGCGGGTGAGTTTAAAATTACAAGCTGTCAAGTTACGTTTTAAACCTTTTTCACCGTTTCAATCATAATTTTTGTTATCACTTCCTTTTAGGTATTCAAAATCATATTGATAGAAAATCGTCACAACTGTTTTATTGAAAGAATATTACAATTATTAGGTGATCCCGGCCCTACGCGTGTTGTCACACCTGACGAATGCAAAGGTAGTCCGGGTCTTCCGGGCCCGCCAGGTGCCCTGGGAGTCAGAGGCGCTGAGGGACCTAAAGGTTTGGGGGTCCATCTCTATTAACTTGTTTTTACTAAACGTTTTTTTGTTTTTTGTTTCAGTTACAATTTAAAAAGAAAATTATTTTTAGATTATTTAAATTGTGATTTTATTTTAATGTACACGCGCGCGCGCACATACACACCTCACACACACACATACACACACACATGCACACACACATGCACGTTCTTCCATTAAGTTCACTCAGGTTATATTCCTTTGTTATACCACCAATCGTTTCAATCTTTTTTGATAAAATGAATCTTGCCAACGTAATCTATTTCTTTACAATGCAATGCAATCATATAGTGCAATCTCGTTAAGCATCAACTGAATAAACCAGACATTATTCTCTACTGTTCCTTTCATAATCTACATCATGTTTTTGAATGCTGTGGAAGATTCTGCTTCTGACAGTATTTGATTTTTGGTACAGAAAAAAATAAAATCTTATATCTATTTATTTATTTATAGATTAGAGCATTATTTATTTTTATATTTTATTTATCCCTGGATTCATTCATAAATGTATATTTATTTGGGCGACACTACGTAAAACAATACTAAATCACCAAGGCATGAAGGGCGAACCTGGTATAAAAGGAGACCTAGGCCCAGTGGGTGATCCCGGATTTGTCGGATCTCCTGGATTACCTGGAGAAAAAGGAGATAGCTCTATGGTCTATGCCGGAGTTAAAGGTTTACTTGGCGTTCCGGGTAGACCCGGATTAGTCGGTTAGTTAAAGTTAATTTTTTTTATAGTTGTTACATCACATTTATTCAATCATTCACGCTTTTAACTATTTTGTTCGATATGAAATAAAGTTACATCTAATTTTTGTTTATTAATTTGCATAATTATAACACCTCTAACGTAGCATTTATATCGAAAAGGACCGGTCGGATTGAAGGGATTTCTAGGTGATCCAGGCCAGCAAGGTCAGCCAGGCTTGCCCGGAGCTTTTGGACCTGTTGGACAACCCGGATTTCCAGGAATGAAAGGTGATGAGGGCTTCCCTGGTAAATCAGGACTGCCTGGTCCCAACGGATTATCTGGAGAGAAAGGTTTTTTGCCTTTTTTTTTCATTTTGACGCTTTATTTGATGACCTGACCTGACCATACCTTAAATGTCACGAAAAAAAAAATAACAATTACAACGCTCCTTTTCTTCAAATTGTCTAAATCATTACTTGACAACGAATAAATAATATACATTGGATAATATATAAATACACAGGTAACAAAGGACCTCGAGGTTTGACCGGAGTTTCTGGCTTTCCGGGCGAGAAAGGAAACCCTGGAGTGCCTGGTGATAACGCTGCATTAGGTGCAAAAGGAAGAACTGGATCACCCGGACCACCTGGGACGCGTGGACTTCCAGGTTCGCTTTGAGTTTTTTAAAAATTGCGTAACATCAGTTAATTAATGGTGTTACATGAAACAAGTTGTTGCATTTGTACAGGGATGAAGGGCAACCCTGGTCTTAATGGCCTACCAGGACAGAAAGGTGAGCAGGGACCATCGTCTCCTCCTGGTCCCAAGGGCGATCCAGGACTTCCCGGACCCAGTGGTCCACAAGGAATTAAAGGATCACCCGGTTGGTTTCTCTCCATTAAATTCTATATTTTTATGTGTTTTTATTGTTATAAATATAATTATTAATAATTATATTTTGTATACTTGTATACTTTTATATTAATTTTTTTTAATTATAGTTTCTGTTATATATATATATATATATATACATATACACACACACACACACACACACACACACACACACACACACACACACATATATATATATATATATATATATATATATATATATATATGTTGGTAATAGACTATAATTTTTACAATATTCTATAAATTCTACCAAATGTTTGGCGTTAATATGTGTTTGTAATTCGTTTTATCGATTTTTCTCACCAAAGTTTTTTGGAGAACGTATAGTTTATTAAAATTCAATATAAACTTATTTCTTTTACTTATTTAAATGTTTTTTTTGTATTTTAATAAATTAAACGTTCTCCAAAAAACTTTAGTGAGAAAAATCGAAAAAACGAACTACAAACATATTAACGCCAAATATTCGGTAGAATTTATAGAATGTTGTAAAATATATATATTTATATATGCACTTTTTAGTTAATTGTATAATTGTAGTTAATTGTTAATTGTATGCACTTTTTCTTAATTGTATTTTTAAGTCTATTAATAAGCAAGTTTTGTTGCATAATTGCAGGAAGGCTAGGAGGCAAAGGTCAACCCGGTAAACCAGGAACACCAGGATTCGCCCAGCCAGGCCTTCAAGGTCTACCAGGTGATCCTGGTTTTCCAGGAATCTCGGGGTTGAAGGGATTTGATGGATTGAGTGGAGACGATGGTTTACCCGGAATGAACGGTCGGAAAGGAGAGAAGGTTTGCTAAATTTTTTTTGTTTTCTTGTGTGTGTGAATGTGTGTGAGTGTGTGTGTGAGTGTGTGTAGGTGTGTGTAGGTGTGTTTGATTCTATACATTAGTTTAATTTAACGATATTTTTGCATTACCATTGCACATTTTAATTAATTTTAATTGAAATTTAATTACAATTGAAACAATTGAAATCAAAATTGAAATACTGAAACACTTTAAATAATTAAATTTGTTTAAAAAAATCCACTACTTGCCAATATATTCACTAGGGTAACAAGGGATTTCCAGGACAAAATGGAATGCCCGGAAATAACGGAACAAACGGGATTCCAGGTGTGGGAATCATCATTCGCATAATCAAATTTCATTAATAATTAAGTTTCATTATTGATAATATAAATTATAGCAATAAATATTTTACAATTTTCATATAAGTTTAATTTATTAGTCCGGTTAATTTGTTATTAATTATTAAAACCAGGTTGAAATATTCTCTCACCAAATTAATAACTTTGAACCACCAGGGGACAAAGGCATTAAAGGCATACAGGGTTTACCCGGACAGGTAGGTCCACAAGGGGATGCCAGGGATACAATTATTCCTGGTTTACGAGGCGATCCAGGAGACATGGGACCTAAAGGATATCCCGGTCCAAAAGGAGCTAAAGGTCAAGCTGGAATCCCCGGACTTCCTGGACAAATAGGTTGAATATTTGCAATTGTGATTTTATTTATAACTTTAATTCCACCAACTATCATGCTTGAAAATTTTTTCCGCCTAAATTACTAGGCTTCGATATTTTTTGAAAATAATTTTATGCGCTGTCTTAACCACGTTATAATAAGGTTAAAATAAAAAGATGTGTAATGTGAAAATAATTAATTAGGCGAGTGACTTTTTAGTTTAAATAATATTCATGTCAGTTATCAAGATAGATGGATCTACAGAAGACGATTAAACAAAAATCAGATGACCAACTCAACGATATAATAAACTGCCTCATTATAATTATATTCCAATAAACCATAAATTCTCTCCAGGAAATCCTGGATATCCTGGTATTTCGGGCAAGCCAGGAACCACTGGCGCGAAAGGAGACTCTGGACCTCCTGGAATGCTAGGCATTCCTGGACCGCCCGGCATCAGAGGAGCACCCGGAGAGAATGGTTTTCCTGGGCCTAAGGGACTTGATGGCGAACCTGGAGCCGTTGGACCAGCTGGTATTATTATTATTATTATCAAAAAAATTAGAATCTGACCTAGGCAGTAACTGTTACAACATGCAAGATAATAATATAAAATGATAACGGAAAATAAATGACTTAGTAAGAATGAATAATCATAATAAGCAAGGAAAATAAATAAATGATTTAAAAAACGAATTAATAGATTAATTAACAAATTAATATGGTTCTGTTTGCTTGTTTTTTTGTATATTTTTAATTAATTTTTTCGATTAATTTAAATAAAATAAGTAAAATGTGTATAATCTTTAAAAAACAACATACGGTTACAACTTTGCTTGCAAGAATTTTCAACTAAGGAAATATTAACTGAACATTATTTCTTTAAATTCCCTTATATATGAAAAATTGAATTAAAATTTTCCATTTTATTCCAGGTAAATCAGGAAATCCAGGTGCTAAAGGTCCGGCGGGCTTGCCAGGATACGGACCTCCTGGCGATGAGGGCATTCCAGGCAGAAATGGAGTAGACGGTCTCAGAGGACCCAAAGGAGATGAAGGTTTGGAAAAAAATGATGATAGTAATGATGATGAGAAGGAAGATGATGACGATGAGAAGGAAGATGATGACGATGAGAAGGAAGATGATGACGATGAGAAGGAAGATGATGACGATGAGAAGGAAGATGATGACGATGAGAAAGAGGATGGCGATGATAATGATGATGATGAGAAAAATAATGATGATGATGAGAAAAATAATGATGATGAAGATGATCACGATGATTTTTATGGTGAAAAAAATAATTTTAAAAATTTGAAGGGCCTCCCGGTCTGGACGGTATGAGAGGAGCGAAGGGATATCCTGGACAGCCAGGTCAGCTGGGCGAGAAAGGAAATAAAGGAATCGATGGACCACAAGGAGCCAAAGGTCAAATTATTTTTTTTTAAACAATTTGAAAAAGGAACACAACAATCAATTTTAATTTGAAAACAAAATCCATCACTTATTGATCCATTTATTTATACAATCATTTATTCACTTTTATTTAGCTGTTAAGTTTTTATATTCAAAAACAAAAAAATTTAATTTCCGTAATTAAGGAGCGATTGGTAAACCTGGAGTTCAGGGAGTCCCAGGCTTTCCGGGCAAAGTTGGACCCCCTGGAGATGTGGGAGACAATGGACCTCCTGGATACAACGGGATTACCGGAACAACTGGATTACCTGGAAAGCAAGGTTAGTCGCTGCTGTGATTTAATTGGTGTTTTGCCTAATTTTTTTTAATTGGTGTTTTGCCTAATTTTTTTTAATTGGTGTTTTGCCTAATTTTTTTGCCCTGCTTCTCGTTTTCACTTCTCTAAATATTGTTTGAAATTTGGACAGAATGGGCTAATATAATTTTACTTAATTTTTACGTAGTAATGGTTGTATGCTATAGTAAAATATTTAACTATATTTTTATCATCGTTAATAATAGTAATAATAATAATAATAATAATAATATAGGACCTCCTGGACCAGCCGGAAATCTCGGTGTAACGGGAAGAACAGGAATGGATGGCTTGCCGGGCGTGAAAGGGAATGTGGGACCAGTGGGACCTCTCGGACCACCCGGAATTCCAGGTTAGAGTTAGGATCTGTAGATAGCGTCACAGGTATTTCGTCACTATTATAATTATCGTTGACGTTATTATCATCCTCATTCCATGATGATCATAGTCGTCGTCAATTGTTAACATAAGACCAATTTGTATCACATAAATGTATGCAAATTAATCCCCGTTCTAAACAACAATCGCACTTATTAATTAATCAAAATCATTTTCAGATTAAACCAATATTTCAACTTCAAATGTATAATTTCTAAAAAAGGTATCAAAGGTTACCCAGGGCCTGGTGGAGATCCAGGTAGATCCATATCAGTGATGCCAGGTCTCCTAATCAAGGGGGACAAAGGTGCTCCCGGAACTCCCGGCCCCCCTGGGCCAAACGGTAAACCCGGACTTAATGGTGATCCTGGATTTCCGGGTTATTAGTTTTTCATTTTTATTTTTCAATTTCTGGATATTTTGGATTAAATTGTTTAACGTTTGTGTGTTTCTAACTTAGAGCAGCGACGTTATTTTTTTAATAAAACTAAAAAACAGCATTTTTAATTTCAAAAGGTTTCGTTGAATTTTTACATACATGAATTAAGCATTAATTTTAAAATAACTAACATAGGTTGGTTAATTACGAAATAACAATGACGTGTATAAATTGCAAACAGGACCATCCGGTCTGCCAGGAGATGAGGGACAGGTGGGATTGCCAGGATTACCCGGATCCAATGGACTACCCGGAGTGACGGGTCCTCAGGGTCCCAGAGGATATCAAGGACCAAGAGGTTTCATGTGATTATTTTCCACCTATAAATATTTTAATTATAATTAAATTAGTTATGCATATTAAAGAAATTTATAAATATTGCATAAAAATTCGATAATACAATAATGAAAGTAAAATAACAAATACACCAAATCATTTAACGAGCTAATAACCTTTCAGGGCCCAACGGCAGACCAGGTAATCCTGGATTTCCCGGAAATCCAGGAGCGGTTCTATCGACGGGATTAACTATTGTAAGACACAGTCAGACCATGGAAAGCCCTCACTGTCCCTCTCAAGGTAGAGTCCTCTGGACTGGATACAGTTTGTTGCAGTTCAGGAATAATGAAAAATCTCTTAACCAGGATTTAGGTTAGCTTACTTACTCTGCTACGTTTCGGGTTTCTCTGCAGTGATTTGTTGGTAGACAATGTTTTAATTCAAGTTTGATAATTTAATTCATTCAAACATTCATTAAGCCATTCATTCGCCATCTATCTATATATCACTCACTCACTCAATCGCTCATTCATTCATTCATTCAGTCGATCAATCATTTATTCATTCATTCATTTATTCATTGATTCACACTCACTTACTCACTCACTAACTCACTCACTTACTCAGGGGGCCCTGGCTCCTGCCTCCAAGTCTTCAGCACGGCACCATTCCTCTTCTGTGACTCTATGAAGACGTGCAACTACGCCTCTCGCAACGACAGATCCTTCTGGCTGTCGACCGCCGAGGCCCTGCCCATGATGCCCGTTACTGGCAGCGAGATTTCTAAATATCTCAGCAGGTGCGTGGTGTGTGAGGTGCCTTGGATCGCCATGGCCATCCACAGTCAGACAAGGAACGTTCCCGACTGCCCGCCCGGTTGGAGCAGTCTCTGGATCGGTTACAGCTTCTTCATGGTTAGAATTTATTCGTGATGCACATCAATCTACCCACATTTATTTAAAGTAGGTTTTTTAAAATTATTATTTAAAATTAATTTTAAATCTAAATTTAATTTTAAATAAAATTGCAATTGACAGCAAGCCGCGGGTCGTAGTGGTACCGGCCAGCAACTATCTAGTACGGGCTCCTGCCTCGAAGACTTCAGAACCACCCCCTTCATCGAATGCAGCACCGAACGCGGCAGCTGCCACTACTACCCTGACAAGGTCAGCTTCTGGCTCTCGGCATTTGAGCCCTACGAACAATTCGAAAAGCCGCAACACAATAAATACCAGGGCGGAAATCTTCGAGACTACGTCAGTCGGTGCCACGTCTGCGCTAAAGATACATTAAGATAAATTTTATTTTTTAAGTTAATTAATTGGTATATTAATAATTAATTGATAGATTGATCGATTGATTGATTGATTGGTTGGTTGGTTGGTTGGTTGATTTTGATTGATTGATTGGTTAATAACTAATTCATTAATAGTTCATTGATTGATTATTTTTAATTAATTGAGTGGAAAAATTATAAATAGTTGGTTGATGTTTGACTAGCTGGCTGGCTGGTTTATTACGTTGTGTGATTGAATCGTTTGTGGTGATTAATTTGAAT